TCGGGGGCATTTGCATCTCACGGACGTCCATGTGAGAACTGCGTGTGGTAGGAAGGGACCGGCACGTGCGAGGTTAGGGCACGTACTTGCACATGTAGTCCCGAGGGGTGTTGAAGCGGGTGGACGCTCCCCGAGTAAGCCGGCTCCTCGGCTGTAAAGGGGGTCGTGTGGGGGAGCACCTGGTGCACGCGCAGTGATGGGAAGGAAGTGGGAAAGCCTGAGGGCTTCCCCGGCGTGTTAAACCAGGGCCTTCAGACTTTTTTAAAAAGTTGGGAGTCCCTCCCGAGTCTGGGAACATTGGGTTGAACTGGTCTGGCGTCGGAACGCAGAGCGGACTCGCGGTGCCCTCCCTTGCTTTGGCTTGTGGCCCTTGCTCCCGTCCCCACAACTGCTGCGCCTCCACCGCTCCGCAGAGGGCATTTCTGACTTGTCGGGATATGATCGCTTAATAATACCGTGCACTCAGCCTGCGTTTTTAACAGTTCCATAAAGTTAGACGTTATGTGCCGTGTCTGAACTATTTACTGTCTGAACTGAAGAGGGGTTTTGTTTTATCGGGGTAGCACTTACTCTAGATCATTTCCCTTCTGTCTCCTCTAAATGGGGTCTGTAAACCGGCACCATTCACAGACCGTGCGGATGGAGGCGTGTCATCCTCGGATCAGGAGCCTCCCTCCTTTGTGACATGGGAATAACTGAGACTACTCCTCCCCGTAAAGGTGTTGTGGGACGAATTGTATTAATTATTTTAGAACTTTCTAGATAAACAAGTTTCTAAGAACTTGATAAAATTGGTTTGGTTTTGGAGTCCCCTTCGCTGTGTCTGCTGGAAAACGGCTGTAGGTATGACCGGTTTAGAAGTTTTCTACAGGTGGGTAAAAGGGTCTCAAAGCATAAAATACCCTTCTCTAGAGTGTTACCAGATTTGTTTAGAGGGCCGAAAATTAACAAGCGTTGTATCTTTCAGAGGAAAACCACATGGTGGCCAATGACATCATCATACTCAGTCCGTCCGTGTCTGGTCTGAATTTTAGGTTGCTGTGATTGGTCACTTTTATTTTTTTATGTTTTTGAGAGAGCGCGAGAGAGAGCGAGCACGCACGAGCAGGGGAGAGGCAGGGAGAGAGAGGGAGACACAGAATTCAAAGCAGGCTCCGGGTTCTGAGCTGTCAGCACAGGGCCTGACGTGGGGCTTGAACTCATGAACTGCGAGATCATGGCCTGAGCTGCAGCTTAACCAAGTGAGCCACCCAGGCGCCCCTGTGATTGGTCACTTTTAAAGGCTGGTTGTTGTTGGCTACTTACTTTGAATATTTGTGCTGATGATTGGATTTCCTTTTATCGCGTGTGCATCAGGTTCATTATGGTGCCGAGTGGTAACATGGGCGTGTTCGACCCGACAGAGATCCACAATCGGGGTCAGCTGAAGTCGCACATGAAGGAAGCCATGATCAAGCTTGGTTTCCACTTGCTCTGTTTTTTCATGTATCTTTACAGGTGAGTTCACGGCCCCCTGGCGTTGCCCTGCACGGACGTCTGCTCGCGGTGGGGGGCTGTGGGTTCTGCGGTAATGCTGCGGAGCCTTGGGGGACCCTGTGGAATTCTCCCGGCCTAGACTTGTGTGTCATCAGATCAGCGATCTGTGTGACCTGCCGTAGGTACTCGGGATGTTAGTTGCTCCGTGGCTGCGGAGGCTGTCCCCGGCTCCCAGGGACCGGCCGCCTCGGGTCTCTGGGGGATGTGGTGAGGACGTAGGTGTGCGCTGCCTCGCCACGTGCCAGGCAGCCTGTCCCCGTAAAACCGCGTCCGCCTTCCAGTTGTAGCGGATGGGGAGTGACGGGTACCAGCGAGGACTGGCCCCCAGACGCGGGAAGCCTCGTGCGGTCCTGTCTGAACCTTAAATTGTGTTTTAGGGAGAAACATGCCACCTTTTCCCTTATCTGTCGCCAGGCCAAGGAGTCGAGCAAAGAAGAGAAAAAAATTGTGTGTATGATTCGATTAAACCTTTAGGAGACTAGAAGTCAGCCTTAACCTTTCTTATGCAGGCTTAACGAGATCATTCCTATTTTTCTTCCCAGGTAAACTTTAATTTTTCACACAGGCATGAGGACTGTTAGAAAGAACTTGTGTTGGCCTAAATTTTTGTCACTCAGAGGGTTCCGATATTTAGAAACTGCACAGGGATGGCAGGTTTTTTCTTTAAGTTCACTTTGAGAGACTGAGCGCGAGCAGGGGAGGGGTAGAGAGCATCCCCAGCAGGGTCCGTGCTGCCGGCACAGAGCCTGACGTGGGGCTCGAACCCGTGAACCAGGAGATCATGACATGAGCCAAAATTAAGACTCAGATGCTGAATAGACTGAGCCACCCAGGCGCCCCTTTAATAATTTATTTTTAACGTTTACTTATTTTTGAGAGAGCCAGCGTGTGAGCAAGGGAGGGGCAGAGAGAGGGGGGCAGAGGCCGACAGCACAGAGCCTGACGTGGGGCTCGAACTCATCAACCATGAAATCGTGACCTGAGCCGAAGTCAGATGCTCAACCGACTGAGTCCCCCAGGTGCCCCTTGTCAGGTTTCTAACGCGGGGATTTCACACGGCTTCTGTCTGGAATCGCCTGCCGCGTGGGGGACACTCACATCCGTCCGTGTTTCTTACACAGAATGAAAGGGAGAAATGCCTGTATTCTTCAGATAGTGATGGGGTCGATGCTCTTGGTGTTCTGCTTGGGTGCTGGGCTCGTGCAGTCTGGGGGCGACCGCTTACCGTGTGACCCAGGGCTGCTTCTTAACCTCTCTATGCCTCAGTTTCTTTGTCTGAAAATGGGACGGTATCTAATGCCTGCCTCGTTGGATTATGATCCGGACTAAATGAGATAACGCATGTAAAGCATGTAGGTTTGTGTTGACTGGCGGTAAACTCTCAGAATCTTTCACGGGGATTAGCCGCTCCCGTGAATCTGTGCTGCACGTGGGCTGCACTTGGTTTGGTTAAATTTGGGCAACGAATCACTGCATTAGCAACGTGTAAGGGGATTTCTGTGAAGTCTGGTCATCTAAGCAGGGAAAGAAAATGATGGTAGTTTCGTTGCTGCTGTTAACTGTGGTGGTTTTAGCAGAGTGTTTACTGAGCGACCGCTGAGTGTCAGACGCCGTCAGGCTGGAACAGCCTGGAATCCCGCGTGGAAGCGAGGGTCCTGCCCGGTGCACTGGCGGGCTGCAGCTTGCATGTGCAGAGAATTAAAGTCTTGGTTGGTTTTCTGTGTTTGCTCCAAACTGTAGCCCAACGTTGGTTTCAGGTTGTACTCCCACGCCCACCCCAGTTATTTTTTTCTAAATGAAAAAAATTAAGGCTTTGAGAGGCCCTAATTACACGTTTTTTTCAAGTTTATTTAGAGAGAGCGCAAGCACGGGCAGGGGAGGGGAAGAGGAGGAGAGAGAGAATCCTAAGCAGGCTCGCACTGTCGGCACAGAGCCCCACTCGGGGCTCGATCTCACGACCTGAGCTGAAATCAAGAGTCAGAAGCTCAGCTGACTGAGCTCCCCAGGCGCCCCTGGACATTCTTTCTTTTACGTGTAAACGATGGTCTGTTCCTTGCTGAGCCTCAGACGGCAGCGTGGCCGGACCGGGCTGTGCAGGAACGCCGCTGAGGAGACGTCGGTAACACCGATCTCTTCTCCCCGCAGTATGATCTTGGCTCTGATAAACGACTGAGGCTGCGGGCGCCGCGTCCGGAGCCGGCCCACACCACCGTGCGTCGTCGGGGAGCCAGAGACCACGTGGATCATCCTGAGAACCGTGACCATAGCAGTATATTTTTTCCTCTTTGAACAAAATAAAATATTTTTGCTGTATTTTTACCATATAAAGTATTTAAAAAACACGAATTGAGTTCTTGTAGATTTCTGGTTCTCCACGTCAGCCTGAACCCCAACGTGTGGTTTTCATCGTCTGTATGTCGAGGACTGGCATTTGTACGTAGTGACGGCACGGCCGCCCCAGCCTTGCCCGCTGCAGAAACACAGGGAAACCTGTGGACAGCAGAAAAGGCAGAGTGCAGAGCGCCGCTGGCCACCCAGGCAGAGGAGGAAAGTGTTGCCCTTTGGCCTCTGTCGAGGCAGCTTCGCTACGTTCAGTGTGGTTTAAAGGTTTATGGGACTGTTGGCTGAGTTTTCTCACAAGAACGTTAACAGAAAGTGACATTTCAAAAAATACGTATTTCTTTGCAGAATCTGTGAAACCTTATAAGCCATTTGCCCAGGTACAGTGTAATTCCCGCTTCTAGAAAGGAAAATAAATCAAAAAAGCAAAATATTATCAAGCATTTTCATTTAAAGCCATGGCCTCCAAACTCCGCCTCAAACCCATTCGACCGCACTGGCTCCAGCCGGGTCTTGCTTTCGTGTTCTAGCCGATCCCGCTGCATTTGGTTCCCGGGGTTAATGGGTTTGGGGCAGTGATTTGGTACAAGATGCTCATCAGATTAGAGCAGGAACGGCGGGTCATCGAGGGACCTTGGAGCCCGTCACCGCTCTGCCTGGGGCCCCGCTACCGCGCCGATGACCAATGCGTGATGTGGGAGACCTGGACGAGCCGCCCCTGCGGTTGGTGGGAGCCCTGGGGAGCACTCACCTCTCCGGCTCCGCTGGGTGAAGTGAGCCAGGCCATTTCTGTCATTCCTGTCTGGCACCCTAACGCCACTCTCTGAAGCTCTGGCCGTGGCAGAGCCCGAGGGGTAAACCCTCTACGTGGCGTCCGCAGTTGACAGGTGAGGAGAGGTGCTCTGCCGGCCTCACGGGCCCTGACAGGCTCTCCCTGCGAGTATTTGTGTCTGTGCCGGCAAAGAGCCGAGAACCTGTGACCGAAAAGGTACTTTTCTTACCTTTTCCTCTGGAGGCACCTGGCTGTTTGAGAAGAAACCTGGTTCTCTGCCTTCCTCTCTCATCTCCCGTGGCTCTTGGTGTCCCCTCGAGCTCTGAAAGCGGTGAAGCTGCGGGAGAGCACGGGCCCTCAGAGCCCAGAGACGACGGGACACCCTGGGAAGCTGGCAGGTGCTGGGGGCTGTGGCCAGAGTGGGTTCCTTTCTCCCACGAGCCTTCGGAGCCAGGCAGGAGACCGTGCGCCCTTCCTCCTGACACGCTCGCCGTGGCTACAACTGCACAGCCGCCCGTCTTGTGTGGCTTGCGTGCGGCAGGGCCGGCGGTGACCAGCGTGGGCGTGTATTTTTAGGGGGGTCTTCCCCAGGTGACGGCGAGGGGCAAGCACCGGCTCTCAAAGCTGGGCGACGTGCTCAGGTCCGTCACCTGTGTTCCCTGGAGGGGACCCACGTCGCCGCTGCTAGAGGTGACCTCGGAGCCCCGAGGTTGGCCGAGGCCACTCCTTCCCCGCCCGTTGGCCAAGGCATAGACCCGGGGCCCCCGCTGATTGCCGAGGAAGCCAGACCGGATGTAGCTGGGGCCCCCGGCGAGAGAACACACGTGCACCCCCGTGCGTCCTCGCTCTCCAGGTGCTCTTCCAGCAGGAAGGCCCGATGGAGCGGTGCCACCCGGCCCCACTGGGTTCGAGGCCGGATCGGAGGCCGTGAAACCCGAAGCCGGGGTGGCGGAGTGTGCCGGGCCGGGCGTGACGGTCCCCAAACGTGAGTAACGCTGTCCTGGTTGTGCAGGAACTGGCAACGAGCTGGAGGAGGGGTCTGAAGCCCTGTGGGCACCGCCTAGGCACCCACCACCGGCCACGTGTACTTTGGACCAAGAGTTTGCTGCGTGGCTAACAGACGGACACGTTCTGGCGAGGCGATGCTCATTCAGCTAGGCCGTTCTGGCTTCCGGGGCAGAGCCTTGTGGTTTTTGGCTATAATTTCTGTGAAAATTCCGAAGGTGGCAAGTAATCAACTTGTTTTTAATTAAATCTGTATTCTCTTTGGTTGGCCCTGACTGATCTGAATTCCCAGATGAGGGTCACCCAAAGCTGAAGGGCAGTGGGAACTGCGGCCGTCCCGTCCAGACTGCAGGGGTCTCAGAGGTAACTCGGTTCTGAGTCAGCTGCTCTTTCAATTCCTTGACAAAGGCTGCTTCCCCGGCACCTTTCCCAGGAGGGTCACTTTGACAACTGCTCCAGGTCCCACTCCCCGAGGGCCCTGGCGGGACCTGACCTTGGCTCCCCGGTGAGCCCCTCCACGTTCACTGAAATCGATAATCTGTCAGTGACAGTGTGACAGAGTTGAGGCGGAGGAGGAACGGATCTCCTTTGACAGCTGATCCCACGTTTATTTCGCAGACTGGATGCACGTGGGGGGAGCGCCGTGCCTGGCGGGCCCATCAAAAGGGACGTGTCCGGCTGTCCGTCCATCCTCCCCGTCAGGATTCGTGTGGCCGCACGGGAACATGCTGACTTTTGAAGGCAGTGAAGGGACTGGTTAATGGTATTTGGTAATTTTGTATCGTATTGGCTACAGTAATTGGTCATGGGTATTCTTGTTTTATGCGTAATCTGCTCCCTCCCCCTACGGTTCTGAAGTCAGATGGTTTTGAATATGAGACGTCATTACATCTGTGCTATTTTGGCCACATCTCTGTAGGATAAGGGTCCTGAAAACACACGACCACGGTACCGATATCCTACATAAATGCGATCTCTTGGTCCGAAGTATCTGGTTGGTGCTCACATGTCCCCCATTGGCTCACAAGCGTTTCCGTTGGTGTGTTCACGCTTGCATGGATCCAAACCAGATTTACACATCTCCTCCAGTTAATGTCTCCTCCTCCGCTAGGTTCCCTCTGGTTTTCCGGCAGTCTGTTGGAAGAAGCTGGGTCGTCTGACCCAGGTCAGGTCAGCTCAGGTCGTGTGTTGTGCAGAAGCTCCATCTTCCGGATTTTGCTGACTGCATCGTCTGTGCTGACTTTTCAGCCCGTCTTCAAGCACAGTTTGCTGAGCGACTCTGCACACGCCCCGTGTTACGGAGCCGAGCGCCCAACACCGTTAGCTGTGCCTGCAGGTCAGGGGGCACGAAGTAACTTGTGTAAATCACCACACGTCCAGTGATCGGATTTAGAGTCAGGTCTGAAGATTCCAGAACCCATGATTTGAACCACTACGCTATAAATTTATGCACTCTGAAGACGCGCAAACTTACTGTGGGGGCTCTCCTCTATGAAACTTCCCGCGTGTTTTATGGACCACTTATGTGGAGAGAAGTCGCTTGATAGACTTTCGAGACTGTCATTTTCTTCTCTGAGCTGCGCAGTCAGCCAGAACCAGCGGGCCCTTCCAATCTTCGCCGACCTTTGCCAAGTTTGAATGGTTTTGAGTCCAGGGTAAGTGGCTACCCACGGACCAAGGGAGTTTGTCCTTGGCGGTGCTTAAGCACGCGTGCTCGGAGGCACCCGGCTCAGAGGCCCCGCGCCTGCAGACCGGTCCATTTGAGCCCATTCGTCTCATCCGTAAACCAGGCACTGGAGTCCGTGCCCCGTGAAGCCACCGGAGAACGAAAGAAAAGCACGGGAAGCAGCCGGACGGCGGCCCGAGTGCCCGCCGCGTGGGGACCTCCCTCCTCGGCCAGACAGATGCGTGGAGCCGCGGCTGGTCCCTGTCCATCCCCTCCCCGCTCGGGCTCCTGCTTCCTGGCCTCGCTGCCAAGGTCACAAGCGCGGGCTCTGCACCAGCATGGAGCACCAGCTGAACGAATGTGTTCCCAAATGGGACTCGCAGTCTGGAAGCCGAACCGCTTACATGGTCCCGGGTTTAGAAGAGCAGACGGTGGAATCACAGGGGGATTTGAACCCCAGACCCGCCACCCCTTAGTCACGTTCGCCTCGTGAGGCCGGGCTAGATAACCGGCACAAAGGGACTCTGTCGCTCACAGGGACTGCATAACACGCACACCGAGCACGCCTGGCACCTGACAGACGTCCCGAGGCCCCGCACGTGTGCCAGGAGGGAGAGCAGGGACAGAAGTGAAAGCAGGCATACCTGCTCAGGGAGTGGGGAGGTCTCTGTGGATAAGGAGACGACTGAGGCTTGCTGGAACGTTCTTTGCATGCCAGCCCACGAATGGGGGACAAAGCTCACCGAAACACACCTGCCTGCCTGAGAAAGGCTCGGGCACCTTCACCTAAAGCTTGTTTTCCTTTGCAAACCGTAGCTTTAAGAGCCAGAAGACAGGGTGCCTGGGGGGGCTCGGTCGGGACTCTTAGGCTCAGGTCATGATCTCACGGTTTGTGGGTTCGAGCCCCGTGTCAGGCTCTGTGGTGACGGTGCGGAGTCTGCTTGGGATTCTCTCTCCCCCTCTCGCTGCCGCTCCTCCACGCATGCGTGCTCTCTCTCAAAATAAATACACTTAAAAAAAAAAAAATACAACTTCCACACTTAGATTCGTGAAGGCTGGAAAATTCTCCGTGCCGGATACCGGGCTCTGACACAAGAGCTGATGTGTAAATGAACAGCTGGAGTTTCCAAATCCGCGAAGGAGCACCTTACTTAAAGAAAACACATAGATCCCCCTAGCCCGGCTCTGGCGGCCGCCAGCCCCCCATGAGCTGCCTGCCTGGTGCTGGCCTGTCACAGGCGAACGTCCTTCTGTGCAGGATGCTGCCGCTGGCCGGAAGCACCTTACAGCTCTTTCCCTTTCTCTGTAAGCACAACTGTGCGGTGGGTTTGCACACACTGAATGCTTTCTCCGTGGAAATGTTTAAATTCTCCAAATAAGAACTATAGAATTATTCATGAGGAAATACATTTTTCAATTTTTAAAAAATGTTTATTTTTGAAAAAGAGACACAGCAGGAGCAGGGGAGGGTAAGAGAGAGAGGGAGACACAGAAGCCGAAGCAGCTCCAGGCTCCGAGCTGTCGGCACAGAGCCCGACGTGAGGCTCGAACCCACGAACCAAGAGATTGTGGCCCGGGCCGAAGTCAGACTCTCAACCGACTGAGCCACCCAGGTGCCCCAGGAAATAAATTTTAATCTCAAACTGGAAGCATATCTTCTCCACTAATCAACATATCCAACTCCTAATGCAGAATTTCAGATGCAGTGACATTTTTGAACAAAATGGAGCAGGCATGTGATTCCTTTAAAATCCAAGTATCCCTTAAATTTTTTTCTAAACTAATCCCTCCATGATTGCACAATTGTGCTTTACAAAAGACGTCCCAGGGACGCCCGGGTGGCTCGGTCGGTCGAGTGTCCAACTTCAGCAACTTAGGTCCAGGTCATGGTCTCGTCCGTGGTTCGTGGTTCGTGAGTTCGAGCCCCACATCAGCGCAGAGCTTGCTTTGGATTCGGTCTCCCCACTCCCTGCCCCTCCCCCGCTTGTGCTCTCTCAAAAGTAAACATTAAAAACAACCTCCAGGGAAACAGAGGAAAGTCAAATTCAGCAAATCCATTGTTTTAGGTTAAAAGTCATACTATGTAAGCATTCAGATGAGTGGATATTAGAGGAGATTTAACACAGCAACAATTTCTTATTCATTCTGTTTATTGGATTGAGAGGGAATACAAACAATTGGGTAAGTGCTACGCACTGACACGGAAAAGGTGTATTTAAAAAAAAAAAAAAAAATCCCAGTAAAGCAAATCAAAGTTAATGTAGTTTCAATTGAACAAAATTTTAAAGACGCTTAATATACTACACATTTATAAAATAAAAGTTAACAAAGAATGTTTTGTAAATAATTAGTAGAACAAGTGAAAATAAATACCGGAGACCTGAAGTTTTTTATGCTTTAATGAAATAATAAAGCCAAGAAACTTAAACTACTAAATATAATCTGAGAGGCAGTTAAAAAAAAAAAAAAACAGAAACAAAAAACCAGAACTCCCCCAAATTTAAGAACACAATCCTTTGAAACACTGAATCAGTCCATAGCAATAGTTATTACATACCGAAAGCTCTAAGCGTTAACTAGTTCCACCACAATGCCATGTAAATCTTGACAATTTAGGTATCTTGAGATCAACACTTAAGTTCTTTCCCTGATCTCTACAGCTTGGTTTGTTAAAGTACATACATGCTTTTGTGGATCTATTCCCCTCGCCACACACACACGTTTTTCAAGGAGCCAATGACATTTTTTCCATCCGTGCCTAAAAATGTTACGACTCCGTTTTAGCACATTGACCCCGATAACGCAAATGTTTGAGTGAAGCGTGGGGACACATCTGAGTCTTATAAAAATATACCAGTATTAGCCAGACCTTGAGTTCAGAGAGGGCACTTCACATGTGCACGAGACTTCCTAAAATTGACACGAAGAGCCCAGAAAGCTGTTTCTAGGGCTTTTTATGAGTTCGGTACGCTCTCTTGCACACAGACACACAACACGCACACGTTTTTACACTAGTAGTTTCATTCAATCCAGCCTACCTGGACTAAGTAGACAGGGGACGGGCTTTTATAGGTTTCGTTTCTGCAACTAGAGGGCAGCTACTGTGACAACAGCTCAACAACACTGAGGATTTCAATGAAGTTCACCCTGTTTTTAGAAAGTGTCTAAGCGTAAAGAAACGCAAATTCACCTCTTCTCTTAAAGTGAGCAGTTTCGATGCAATCGGGGATGGTTTTGAAAACCCAAGGACTCTTTTGGAGAGGAACGCCGAAAGACAGTTGCTGAAGTCTAAACGGGAAGTTAAAAATTAAAGCGAGGTACGTGTACGTCTTAGAGACGGGACCAAAAGGATATTAAGAAAAACGTCTTCTTTCCTCCCCATTCAAAAGCTGCCATTCTTCTGCTGTGAAAGAACCTGACAGATATTTCCCTTTCAAGAGATGTACGATATATTTACCACCGTGAGCAGAGTGCTAGGTCAGTTCTTGTGTGCAGGAAACAACATCCTAAAAAAGAAAATTTCAAGGTGGGGAGGGGTGGGGAAGAAGGGTTTTCTATTAATGTCACGGAACGCCACTCTAAGAGGGAGAACACGCCTAAGAACGGAAAAATCGTATTTCTACGAGCGGGATTTCAGACTAAAATACTGACGAGGAGTTAGGATTTTTTTTTTTTTCCCCTTACAACTAGGCAGGTGACTCGAATCACTTAGTTTGTATTTAAAGTTGAGTAATCCCTTTTGCTCTCCCACCCACGAACACCGGTCAATCCGTGGGGACGCTCGCCGGCACAATCTCCTGTTTAAGCGACTTACCTGGTTTAAACACAACATGTCTGCCTGACCTAGAGGAGCAGCGGGAATGCGGAGGGTAGGGGACGCTAGCTGTCACCCCTCCCCGCCCCCCTCCCCCAACTTCTCCGTCGCCACCCCCACCCGCCTCACATCCAACACTGTACTGTCGATAACCGATTGTTTGGAGGCAAAAGGCATTCCATTTTAGACTTGCCCTAGCCCTTAATCAACCAACAACAAGAACAAAAACATTTTTCAGCACATGGAAATGAGCCTACTAACCTGATTTTTGGAGCCCAAATTCTCCACTCTAGTTTTGATCTATGTGCAAAAAGTATTGGTACTTTTCAGTTTCTACGTTAGTACGTTGTACCGGCTTGGCCGTCCCCTTGCTCTCGAGCCTACGCAGAGACTAGAGCCCTGGCGGAGCTGGTCACTTCATAGCTACGGGCCACCCCCGGCCTGCCCTACGGGCCCCCGCGCGGCAGGTGCAGGAGCGGGCACGGCGAGGCACCCGCGTGTGCGGGACGCCGCGGGGTCACGGCCCCGGCAACGCCCCGGAGACCTCGGCATCATCGTTACTCCGCCTTAGTGGAGTTCTGTTCCCTGGCCAGCGTGTCTCCCTTTTATTCCGCTTTTTTAGAGGTCCTCCACTACCCGCGGAGCACTGGGCTCCTGCGTGGGGGCGGCCGGGTGCAGTGGGAGGAGCGGAGGCCGAAGCCCACGGACGGGCGCGGGCCTCGGGGAGCGCGCTGGACCTAACCCGTCAGCAGCCGTGGCGTTTGTGGGCCCACAGTTCGTCAGAGATGCTACCGGGGAGACGGGGTGCATTGCCTAACGGCTTCGGGGCGGAAAACGTGCCTGGACTTAACTGTACTGCGGGAAAGAGAAGTTGCCACTGAATTATATACAGTTACCAATGAAGACTTTTATTCAAGCTTAAAGTAAGAAGTAATTTTAGTTAAGAAAAATGAAGTACCAGATAAACTGTAACAGATCGTTATTGTAACTTAGAAGTATCAAAACAGGAATTCTTGATTCTCTAAGTGGGGGTCTCTGCAAAATGGAGCTTAAAGAAATCTTTTACATACCAATTTGATAAAATCATCTGCTGACACGGTCTGTCGCTTCCTCTTACTATGAGCTTTTGGGAGAATCCGTGCTATTTTAAGGCCAATTGTGTTTTTCTCTCGTCTCCCCTCCCTGACGTCCCCGCCCCCACAGGAGAGTCCCTGACACCCAAGCCCTTCTCGCTCTGCTCTGAGGGTCCCGGGCCCCAGAGGGGACTTGGCACAGGCCCTTTTCCTCGCCAGACCCTCATCCTGGGGGCACCTCCACTCCTCTCCCCACCGTAACAGCCGCGGTCCCCTCGGACCCTCTGCTGGAACGGGGAGGTGGCTCCAAAGGAGACGAGGCACGCCGCGTCCAGCTGTTACGGGGTTTAAAAGCGCAATGTGAACGGGAGGCTTCTGGCTTCTTTCGGATGTGAACTTCTCAAGATTACAAGTGCTTTGCCACGGAGGACACCTTTCCTTGAACTACCAGGGGAGGGGGAGGCAAAGACTACCCACAGCACCAGTTTGGAAGGAGGTTCAGTCTGGCAAGATCTGAAAACCTGAGAAGGAGCGTGCTGTACGTGTACGGCCCTCGACAGGTCAAAACGTTACGGGCAGTTCAGACACAGGACTAGGAGGTGTGAAACCCAGTTTCGGTCTGTGCCCTGTGGAGTCTTCTAACACGCTGGGTCATGCTATGAACTTCCCCGGTGGTCACACCCGCTTTCCACTCGTGCCGGACCCCACCAGAGCAGACCTCCAAGCCGGGAACAGCTCGGAACGTGCTTTGCGGAAAGCCTACACTGACTCACTACCGAACTCTCCTGTTGGTATAGGCTTAAAATTCTCTTTTGGAATCTTGAATTTCTTCCACATCAGGTACTGATGTTCCTTCGGGGAAAAAAAAAAAACAAAAACAAAAGGGGGGAAACCTCCAAGGGGTTACTCTGGATTTCCTGTGTAATGTCCTTCCAAGCTGTGTTTCTGACCAAGTCTCATGTGGGATTCCGGAAGAGCGTCAGTTTTACTGCGTATCTTAAGTCATAGAGGAAACTTTTTTTTTAAGCTGGTTTAGATTCCAAATGTATACAAATGAAGTCACTTTAATCCTATAAATACTTCTTAATTTATTTTTAAAAAATTGTGCTGTTAACCCTTTTACGGGGCAACAAGCTATGTGAAAAGTACAAAACTTTTTGTCAAATGTAATATTGAGAGTGCTTTTGACATAGTTCACTGGTTTGTCATCTGGATCAGTATCTACTGCGCAACGGGCAAAGGCTAGAATCCATGAACCAAGCTGCAAAGATCTCAAGCTAAATAAGGCGGAAAGATTTGGAGAAACAAAAGAAGGAAATTCTTTCCTATCCAATGTGTACTCTTCAGACTAATGCACTCCTTCTATCAAGCCTTCTAAACTGTTAAATAAAGTTTTCCAAACAAGCATTTAAACTTCATTACACAGAAGAGCAACAAGAATGGTGTCCCACCAGACAAAAGGCAGGAGGGAAAACAATATATATACGGAGTTCGGTGGGTAAGCCTGAATGTAGCACAGTCCTTCACAACCGATGGGGGCGATTCAACATGGCGTCCAACAACGTTCTAACGACGTGCTTCATCTCAACTGGTTACTATGAAGCAAGGTGTAAATGTTTGGCCCCAATCGGGCTTCAGAAATGGTTCTTTTTTTCATGACGAGCATGTCTGTCCAGCTATCAATCATGTTTGTTTGCACCAAATCCCAAGCCATTAAAATACGACTAATTTTAAGTTAAACAGAAGCCGTCTGCTCCACACTCGCCATCAACTATCCATGCTACTGCATTCCTCTGAATGAAGACAAGACGAAATGTGTTTGGAGGGCGGGGAGGAGGTGGGGGGGG